ATTAAGTAATCTTGAAATCAAATTTGTAGTTCGTATTCGATACTGTATTTTCCATATATTATATAAAGATAATGTAAGTGTAATTAATAATAAAAATTATAACTAGAACTGTATAAGGTAATGTAATTTCTATAAATGATTCTTTATTATAAGTAACAAATATTAAGCTTAATTATTTTAATTATTTAGAATTGTTTATGTTGTAATTAATTTTTTATAAATGTTGAGTATAGAACAATTTAATAAGTATTTTGTTATATAAATTGTAAAATTTCAATAAAAATGTAGATATACATTTTCTTTTTATATAATTTTACAGGGACATACAACTTAAAAATGTTCTCTAATCGTATAACAAAAATTATGCGATTTGCTGTACAGCAGCAACAGCAACAACAACAACAACGTAATATGGCAACTCTTAAAGCCATCTCCATAAGATTAAAATCTGTAAAAAATATTCAAAAAATCACACAATCAATGAAAATGGTATCTGCTGCTAAATATAATAGAGCAGAGAGGGACTTAAGACAAGCTAGACCTCTTGGTGTTGGTACAAAGACATTTTATGAACAAGCTGAGATTCAGTCACCACCAGAAGATGAGAAAAAACTTGTAATAGCAGTAACAAGTGATCGTGGATTGTGTGGTGCTGTACACACTGGAGTTTCTCGTAATATTAGAGATACTCTTTTAGCAGATCCTAAAGAATGTAAAAATACAAAGATCATATGTATTGGTGAGAAATCACGAGCAATTTTATCACGTTTATTTGCTAATAATATACTATTTGTTGCATCTGAAGTTGGTCGTAAACCACCCACATTTAACGATGCTGCTAAAGTGGCAATTGAAATCATGAACAGCGGGTATGTTTATTTCATTAAATATGGAACATATTACTATAAAGTATCAGTTTATGTTTCTGTTTTATGTAGATATAATAAATTCAATATTCGTGTTTATAGGTACAGTTTTGGTTCGGGCCGTATTGTATACAATCGATTTAAATCTGTGGTATCATATGCTGTTGATCAGTTGCCTCTTTTTGATAAAAATGCAGTAGTTAATGCACCAAAATTGTCTATATATGACTCCTTAGATGAAAATGTAATTCAAAGTTATTTAGAATTTTCTTTAGCTTCTTTATTATTTTATTCTATGAAAGAAGGTGCCTGTAGTGAACAATCAAGTCGTATGACTGCCATGGATAATGCTAGCAAAAATGCAGGAGAGATGATAGATAAATTAACTTTGACATTTAATCGTACTCGACAAGCTGTAATTACTAGAGAATTGATTGAAATTATTTCTGGTGCTGCTGCTTTAGACTAAAAAGATATACAACATATATTAAAACATTAATACATCATAGTGTTGGAAAGTAGATCATAAAAACATTGTCAATTAAAAACTGACTATCTTGTTTTCTGTAAAGAAAATTTCAGCTCAATTTTCCGACGTTATTACGAGTAATAAAGTATTTGAAAATACAACACTATTTATGAACCCATCAAGGAAATGAACTATTAAAAAGTGTTCACTGAAATACTTCATTTGTTATAATTATAATTAAAACTATCAAATAAACTAATAATTCTATTTATTTTTGCATCAATCAATGTAATAAAGTTGTATAGATAAGTATATGTTAAATATTTACACATTAAGAAATTAGTATATGTTTAATTATATTTTATTATCAGTATTGTCATTTATTGTAGAAAATATTATTATTGCTTTATAATTTTTTATCTATTTTATAAGAAGCTTATTACAAGAATTTCTTTTATATTTTATAAACTATAATTAAAAAAAGAAAAGTATAATTTACAATGTAAATTTGAAGTATGATCAAAAGTTTTAGAAAATTCTTGTTACATTATAAATTTATGTATTCATAATTAATATATTATTTATATTAATATTTCTATTAATTGTAATATAATCCTATTTCATATAATAATTTTTTTTACTAATGTATTAATTTTGATAATGAAAATTATTTAAAACTCGAACAAAATATGATACGTTGAGGAACACGAAATTACGACATATAAAGAACACCACGTGTATTTTTCTCATCTCCAAAAGTAACCTCACTCTAATAACAAATACTGAATAATGGAAGAAAATCGAAAATCTTGTGTTATTCTTGAAGAATATGGTATACCAAATGTAAGGATGTAAAATAATATTCAATATATCTATTAATTTTAAATAATATTATAGTAAATAATATTAGTTACAAGTAATTAAAACGAATAACTGCTAATGATTACGTTTATATTTTAGGCTTCTGAGTATACACATTATCAACCACAACATAATTGGAATTTGCATAATTTTAAACAAGTATTGTCTATTCTTGATACAAAATATTTAATTTCCTCCTTTTTCGTTTAATTTATTATTTATTTTTAGGAGTTCAAAATACAAGTTATGAGAGAATCTGAAGATGAACGAGAGTTAGAATTTGATTTAATAGGTTATCCTGTTGTCTTTGCTAATGCATTTCGCAGAGTTCTTTTAAGTGAAGTACCAACCATGGCTATAGAAAAAGTTTATATTGTAAATAATACAAGTTTGTTTCAAGATGAAATATTAGCTCATAGGTAACTTTTTATATTAAAAAATTCTCACTGCCATTTTTGATTTAAAAATAATATATATTGGTATTAAAGGTTGGGTTTAATACCACTTCAAGCTGATCCAAGATTATTTGAGTATCCTTCCACTGCTGCTAAAGATGAAGATGAAGTTAGTGATCAAGATACATTAAGATATGAACTTAAAGTATCATGTACATGGAATCCTCAAGTACCTAAAGATTCACGAAGAACAAATGATATGTATAGAAATTGCAATGGTACATAAATATCTAATAAGGATTAAAAAGGTTATAAAAATTGAAAAACACGAATAATTTTATTTATAGTGTATAGTAGAGATATTAAATGGGTTCCTATTGGACGTCAAGCAGAATTATATCCTCGAGGAGCAGAGCAATTAGGTGTTTTGGAAAATGATATCTTAATATGTAAAATGCGCCCTGGCCAAGAAATTCATGCTTTTATGCATGCAGTTAAAGGAATTGGGAAAGATCATGCTAAATTTTCTCCTGTAGGTAAGATAATTATTAATATTTAAGTATACATATCCTATTAATTTTATAACATGAATTTAATAGTTTAGTGTAAATAGTTTTGATAATGAAATATATTCTTAATAAATTACAAATATCTCAATATTTATTTATTAAATTTTGTATTTATTTTTCATTTAGCTACAGCATCATACAGACTGTTACCTGATATACAATTAATAAAACCTGTTATGGGAGAAATGGCAGATCGTTTAAAAAGTTGTTTTAGTATTGGTGTCATAGAAATAATTGAAAATAAGCCAGGTGATCCAGATTCTCGTGAAGCAAGGGTTAAAAATCCTCGCTACGACAGCTGTTCTAGAAATGTGTTTCAACATGAAGATCTTAAAGGATGTGTAAGATTAAGTAGAGTTCGAAATTACATTATTTGTAAGTTTAAATAACATATTTACAAAATTGTTTATTTAAAGATGTATATTTTAATATTTTTTTTTTTTATAGTTACTATTGAATCAGTGGGAACACTGTCACCATCTGTACTGTTTGTAGAAGCCATTAAAATACTTAAGGGAAAGTGTAAAACATTTTTAGAAGAACTTGAAAATATTGGAAAGTGACTAAAAGTATTATTTTTAATAATAGTAAATAAAAATATTTTAATTTTTTAATGTTGAATTATTTATTAAAATTTTAATTGAAATGTAAAACCTAGACATATTTAATAAAAATTATAAAAAAGTATTACTGTAGATACTACATATAAAAGAATATAAAAATTATATATCATTTATATTTGTCACATTTTTTACACTTCAACAATATATAATGAAGCCATATTATATACAACTATTTTTACCAATCACCTATTCACATTTAAGGTTATTAATTGTTCTTAATTTAAATAATTTACTATTTCATGATAATTATCACACACTTACTACATATATGATTTATAAATATTGTAATTCATTAAAGGTTATAAATAACGTCCCTATTCTTTATTATGTTTATATGAAGAATATTGAAAATATTTTTAACGATATGTTATTAGCAATGAACATATCAATGAAGTTTAATCTTATCTACATTGGGTATTTTTTGTTTCTATAATAGAATGAAATTCATATTGGAAATTGTATGATATGAAACAATGTTAAAGTATTCACTTCCATGTTTATTGCGATGTGACACTGAATTTCTTGTATTGGACAGAAATTATTACATCATAAACAACATTTATTCTGTAGTATTGTTCTAGTTTCTATTCTGAATAATTCTGGATAATGGGACTAAAAATTTTTCGATGGAAAATATTATTGATTATTGTATCAGTTCTACTTCTATGGCAATCTTCAAAAGTATGGTTGAGTTTCACGCACGACAAATCAGGCATAGAAGGTAAAAATATATATGCTCATGTAAATATTATAAAAAGTGGAATAATTTATACTTTTTAGGATATTTTCATTTAAATTTAAATAATTTCATATTTCCTTTTACCGTAAATTTGTTTATTGTATAAATACATAGTGTTCACATTAAATAAATAATTAATCAGCATGCAATATTCTTATTGATATAATTAGTAACTATGTAAGTAATTTTATAATTAATGACTTATTTAGTACATCCATTGAAATAAATTGTTTAAAAACTTGCTATCAATATAGCTATGTAAATGTAATTATTTAATATTATATTAATGCGAAATAGTACATAAAATATTAGTAATTTTCTGTCAGTGGTTTAAATAACAATTTTTATTTACAACTATATAATTTTTTTCGATTTTCTTGGACATTTGCTAAGTTTTGTATAGCACAGCTTCAGGACAAGCAGCTAATAACATTAAGCCAGAAAGATGATGAAATTAAGGAAAAGGTGCACATAGCTGTATATTATGAGGCATTATGTTCAGATTCACGCAGTTTCTTCATAAAACAGCTGTTACCAATGTATCAAAAAATTCCAGATAATGTACAAATGGAGTTTATACCATATGGAAAAGCTATGGTAAGATATTTTACCATTTTCATCTTTTAGAAAAAAGGAAAAGCTTAAGAACAATATATTTTATTAATACTTTTCTATTACGAAGTATTGATTGCTTTTCAATTTAAAAATTGTTTATTATTTTGTGCACATTTTATATATATTAATTTAACAGACAACATGCATAATAAAGTATTTTTATCATATTATAATGTATGACTTTTTTTAATTGATCATAATATTGATTTTTGTATCATAATTTATAAAATACATGCTCATAAAGAATACATAATGTACAGTTAGAAACAATAATTAAGATGTAAACGAGTAAAACATTTTTTTTATCTTAGTTAATATCTGCTTGTTATAAAATATCCTTTCTTAATAGTATATATTGAAATATTTTTTAGTTAAACAAGTTTTATGAATTTAGAGATAAATGTAACGAAGTTTAAATTTTCAGAGTTATTTAATTAGGTTTATCAAATTTTTACAGACTATGAAAACAGAGAATGGCTATGAATTTATGTGCCAACATGGACATATTGAATGTGGAGCAAATATTATTCATGCTTGTTCCATAGATATCTTAAAGAATTCTTCCATTCAATTAAGATATTTATCTTGTATGATTAAAAATAACATAGTACCAGTGAATATCATGGAAGTTTGTGCAAAAGAAATGAACATAGATTATAATCCTATTTTTAAGTGTTTCATTGAAAAAAAAGGCAAAGAACTTTTGGCTAAATATGGAGAATTAACAAATGCTTTAACACCAAAAATTTCTTTCATACCAACCGTTGTATTAAATGGGGTAAGTCTGTGAACGCACAAAATTAAACACAAAACAATCTATTTAAAACAAAATAAATATATATAAATTTATATTGATATAATATTTATTAATTATAATATATATGGATGTGCTCCACTTTTACATACATACATACAAATATATATGTAAACAGACATATGAATTTACAGAGTTCTGAGAAACAGGCAAGGATATTAAAAAATTTACTGCAAGAAGTGTGCCTACATTTCAAAATTATGCCAGAAGGTTGTATATTGTAAAAATATATGAACTATTTATGGAACATATCTTCTTTACAAATTTGCATGAAATATAATATCTTTTACACAAAGTCTTATGTACTTAATGAATTTTAATATTTAAGAAAACAACTTAGCAATTTTTCTTTTGTAACAAGAAAGAACGAAATTAAAAAATTTAGTTCAATTAATTAAGTGGATTAAATAAGAGGACGTGTTAGATATTAATATATAACTATAAATATAATATAACATAAATTATAGAAGCATTAATTATGTAAAAAATTTGTTTAATCATTGTTATTATATGGTATAACACTTATAGTATTATTATCTAAAGCTTTTAAAATGGAAAATTATTAGCGCCTAAAATCCACTTCTTTTATAGTTAATATTAAACTAAAATACTTTTTTTGTATTATTTATATAAATGATAGATATGCTAGAAATTTGTTCAAGATATTTATATTAATCATTAATATTAGTAATATTTAACTTCTCAAATATAATGCATTTTACATCGTAATATTCAACTTAAATAATAAATTAAAATAAAAATTCCATATAATATAATAATATCTAACAAAAATTAATTTTAATAAATTAAGAAACTTATTATTCTTGTATTAAAAATAGTAATAGTTAATTGGTTTTGTAATGTATGGGAACAATTTATTAACTAAATATCAACACTTTATACAAACTGTGTCGCTTTGTCATGCATGATAAGTGAAGTAATGCCTTTGATATGATGGAAAATATCGCACATCAAATGGAAACAAATATATATCTCATATACAGGAGAAAGAAACGTGTAGCGAACTTTTTAGCCGAATGAATAATTACATTTATTGAAATTATTTTTCAAAGATAAACATCAAAAATAAATAACTTCTTATTCACGTCACGACGGAGTTCTATAAATATTGTATTTTAATATTTTATATAGTTTCGAAGAAAAGATTAAGAACAAGAGTGACTGGAATAGAATTTTTACTAATTTATTTACGAGGAACAAATGTCTTGAAAAAATGGTCTCTAAAGAAACGAGAACACGATTGTGTGATAGATCAGAATTTAACTATTTTCGGGATACAATACTGATTTTTTTTTTTAACTTATTACCGGTTCTTAGCGCTCGCTGTAAAGAACTTCCGTAAAATTATAGTTTAGACTATGTATAACTTGCGACACGAATATAAAATTAATATTAAATATTGGAATATATTATTTTAACTTAGACTTAAACACTAACCGTCAATGATCGATAAAACGAGCAATAACTTTGTTTAAGCATTTAAATAGGGATGTTCTTTGAGTAAATTCTATATCACCATTTACAAAAAGGCTGTCATGATTTCTCTTTCCTTTTTTTTTTTTCTTCTTTTTTTCTTGCATCTTTACAAAGTGAGAACATTTTTGTCATAAACCGCTAAATTTTAACTTTATGTTCACAATAACGATAACAGCTATCAGAACGATCGCAAGTGAAGTAAAATAGTTTTAATAGCTCTTTTTTTTAGCGATTCGTATGCCTTAATAATTCTATGAAAGGCTTTCGAACCAATGAAACTTTGTAGATATGTTAACGCGAATCTTGACAGTGAATTATACACATACATTTTAGTGGCAAACTATTTCTAGATGCCATTGAAAATGTCGATGAAGGTAAGAATGGCTGAAACGAGAGGTCCATTGGTTAATGAAGGAAACGAATTGAGTAGTTGTGACCTAAAAATGAGGATACATTTATTTTGTCTTTTTATGATCAATGCGATCTAGGTCACCAGAAATACAAGTACTTCTCATTTTGTTCACTTCAATATTAAATAATAAAGGACTGTGGAGGAATTCTTTCTTCTTTTCTTCCTTTTTTCATAAATTAGTTTTGTGTGTGTGTGTATGTGTGTGTGTGTTGTATATATAATATATATTACATATATATTACGAATGAACCACCGACACGCATGTGTTTCCACTCTTCGGTGTCTGTTCTTTACTCTTAGTACTTAAGTAACATTATCGTACGAATCGCACAAAATCACACCAGTTTTTCCAGTTGCTCATCTTAAGAGACTGGCACACACTCCTGGGCGAAGGAAAATATAATGCACCGATCACTGTTGTGACTTGACTCCGCTTTTTTTTTTTCTTTTAAATCCCTCATCCCTATTTCTTTGTGATTTCATTTATATTTCAACAAAAGTGGTGTCGACGTTGTATAACGCGCACGCGTTTTAAGGCTTTTTCAGTAGAGATAAGATACAAACGGGAGATTATAATGAAACTGGATACAGAACGCACTTGGTGAAATATGTTTTTGTATGCGTGTGTGTATGTGTATATGTGTGCGCGCGTGTAATGCATATTATGTATTACATAAGTTGTTTGAAGACATAACGAAGTTGAAAAAGCACAGAGAGATTTCACCAAGAGTATTAAGGCTTCGATATAAATAGATTTCATAGATCCTTTGGCTTTATACGAACGTAGGTCAAGATAACACGCATTTTTAAGCTTTTTGAGAATTCACCATTTTTTCTTCTAATTCTTACATTCTTTTTCTTTGATAATATTATTTCATTATGAGAAGAATTAGATTACTCATCATAGCACAATAAAGAATTCAGTACGTACAAAATCATTGATAAGCCAAAGGTTGAAGCCATTATTTTCCTAACTGTGGAAAACTATACCTAATTCAAATTTTCTTTGGCAAAATAAAACAAACGCGTAACATGTACGTTACTGATAAAATTCTTCGGAACGACAAATGCTGCTTTAACGACATCCGTTATAAGCACCATTTTCTTGATCGAGAAATAAGCGGAATAAACTTCCAATTTATTTCGACCAACAATTGAACTTACACGATGTGTTATAACTTGCAGGTTTTTCCTGTCTTTTAATACTTTCCCTCTCTTCTTTCCACTGATTGGTGATATTTCTCAGTACATTGAAAAGTAGAATTTACAAGGAAAATTTGCATATCAAAGATACGTGCAGAGAAGAAACAGGAAAAGACCAAAAAGAGAGGAAAGTAGAGAAACACTTATTTGCTTTTATCATCAACAAACATGCGCGTCTGCTTTTTATACATACATACGTACATACGTACATACATACATACATACATACATACATACATACATACATACATACATACATACATACATACATACATACATACATACATACATACATACATACATACCTACATACCTACATACCTACATACCTACATACCTACATACCTACCTACCTACCTACCTACCCACACACATACATACATACACACACGCGCGCGCGCGCACGCACACATATACACACACGCACGCACGCACACAAACACATATATATACGTACACACATATATATATATCTAACATTTTTTAACTATATATATTTTTTTATACGGAAATAAATCATCTTTTATGTATAGTTGTATTTATGTGTATGCTGTATATTTTTTTGTATTCGTATATGTGTGCGTGTAATATGTATTTTTATGTTCATGTTGTGTGTAATTAAGTAATTTGTGTATTTAGAGATAATGATTTTTAGTGGTATAACTCTTTAATTAAACAATTGCCCTGTATTACTTATCGTTAATGATGATTAACGCGTGATGGACGTTGACTTTACGCGTTTTATAGACATCTTTGCATCCAGATATAAGATTTTTTCACTTTCTGGTCGATTCGCTTTTTGTTAACATTATATTTTTCTTTATTTCTTGATTTATTTTTATACGTCAACACCACTCCAAGTTGCAAGTTTTTCCATTACACAGGTTGCATTCACTTTGATGTCATCATTGTGACAAATTCTAAAAAAAATAAAATGACAATCATTGTATATATGTAATTTAAACTTAGAAATTACATAAATATTCTCAGAATTTTATAATACATTAACAGTTATTATGAATCTACAATTTGTATAAAAAGGATTTTGGTACAACCTTCATAGTTAACTTGGCCGTCACCATCAATATCAGCCTCTCGAATCATTTCGTCTACTTCCTCATCAGTAAGTTTCTCGCCAAGATTTGTCATAACATGTCTGAGTTCCGCTGCAGATATAAAACCATTTCCATCCTTATCAAATACTCTGAAGGCCTCCCTAATTTCCTCTTCACTATCAGTATCCTTCATTTTACGAGCCATCATAGTTAAAAACTCCGGAAAATCGATTGTGCCATTACCTGGAAATCAAAATATTTTTAGTTTTGATTTTGAAATCAGATTTCTCCCAATCTCCTTAACAATTATATAATGCTAACAATATAAAAAAAATTTATTTTATACATTAATTTTATTATGCAAGTATATTAAAGCCAAAACAAATTTGAAAATATTAATATCATATGTAATTTAAATGATTTTTAAGGAAATTACGTAATAAATAATAATAAACTGTATTATAGATCAATAATAGAATAAGATTAAGATTAAATACCATCTGCATCCACTTCATTGATCATATCCTGAAGCTCAGCTTCTGTAGGATTTTGACCTAGAGATCGCATAACTGTACCCAACTCTTTCGTTGTGATGGTACCATCTCCATCTTTGTCGAATAGTGAAAATGCTTCCTTAAATTCTGCAATTTGCTCTTCCGTGAGTTGATCAGCCTTTAAATAAAAAATAAAACTATGATTTTATATGCACACATACGTGTGGGATATTGTTTAAAAAAACCTATAAAAATAAGTACAAACTTTTTTTTAATAAGTCATACGAAGATTATTGATCTGCAAGTTTTATTACAACATAATTTTCTATTAATTATAATATTCTCTTTTAGTCAGTAACTAAAGTAGTCAATGCACATGTTTAAAGTAACAATATCTTTTTTTTAAATAAAATATATTCAAATTTGTATTATACTCTGAAAAAGGAATGCCATGGAGATATAAAATATCCTATTATTATTATACTTGCTATATATACTGAATTAATAAAACAATAGTTTAGGTTTATCTGCATTACAACACATAAAACCAGATAAATTTTGTG